ATATATATTATTTTTTTAGTGAATTATTATATTCTTAGATGTAATTTTTTTTTATATCTATTATAAAGGGAATGCTCATATATGGATATACTCGTTTCTACTCTTCTACTTTTTAAGTAGATTATTATATTTTTGAATGTAATTTTTTTTTAATATTTTTTTCGAATAATTATTTATAACTTCTAATATATGTCTATGCATAATTATTAAAGGCATGAAGTATCTTGAACCCTCTATTAAGATATAAAATAATTATTAAAATTTATATCTATATAATAAATACTAACATTTATTTTGGGATGATTGATTCTTCTAAAGTGAGAAGTATATTTTAGAAGATAAAGTGTATTTTTAATTGTTGGTTGTAATATCAATGATTAAGATTCGTGATAAAATCATTTTTTGCAAAATAAAATATAAATTTAATTTTAATATTAATCATTAATTTTGTAATTAATTGTTATTATCGCACTTTATTCTCTAAAGAGTAATTCCCTCACTTTAGAGGAGTTATTTTAGCTTTTTCAATGCATGTTAAATATTGACTAAATTATATTTTTGGTCATTTACCTAAACAAATGCCTTTGCAATAAAATTAAAATTAAAATTAAAGAAAATAACGAAATGGGTAGTAATGAGTACTTATGCAAGAGTGTGAGGATGTTATTGATTTGTTAGAGTTTTTAAAAAATAAAATAAAATAAGAGAAGAAATTATGAAATCGATAGTTATCAAAAGACTGTGAAAATGTTACTAATTTCGTGTGAGAAAAATATTAAAACTCTTAATTTTCTATTTTTTCCTAAGCAAACAAAGGAGTTTAATGGTCCAATTGAAAGTGAGCATGCCATAATGTATCTAGCTTTGGTGTTTAGCTACAATATGTTATAATCCTCCTATATAAGTTCTCTAATGATGGAAAACTTTAAGGAATGGTCTAATGCTTTGGCTCCTCTTTCAAGTTCCTTTGTAGATCTTTGACTTCTTGGCACTTCTCAAGCTTTTTTAAGGTCTCTAATGGAGGTAGAGACCTCTGGTTTCACCTTAGAAGGTGAAGAACTCTCTTCAAGTGATGCCACTCCTAGGAAGCAAATGAAACACTTAAATTCTCACCACACTCTTTAGGAAAAGGATAAGAGAATTGGATCCAAATCAAAAAGAATTTAGGACTTTAGGGAGAGAGAATTCAGAAGAAGAACTCGACAATCTCTCATAAAATCATCCAAAGTGAATTTTACAAGTGAAAAAACCTATATATAATGGTGGAGTAGCTTGTAGAGTAAGTTAAACAAGGTAGAGACACTTAGATCTAAATTAATCAATCCTAGAGTGCCAAGTGCCACCTTGTCTCCTAGGGAGACGAGGAGGAGACACATAGATCTAGAAGATTCAATCAAGAGGTGCCAAATGTCACCTTGTCTCCTTAGCTAACAAGAACCAAGTGTGTTAGAGAAGCTTCAAGAAATTCGGCCAAGTAGTGAGAATGGTGACCTAGGCTTATCTTTCTTCACTTAATCTAATCCAAAATTTTGGAATTGGTTTAGTTAGGTTCACCAAATGTTGGTGAGGCCTAGCTAAATCAATTCCTTGGATTAAATTGAGGAAAACAAGCCTAATATGTAAAATTTTTCCTAGACTCACTAATGGCCTAATTACTAGCTTCACCTACACACATGCTATTTGCTACCCCACTATTAATACTAAAAATATGAAAAATCATGACCCTTAATATAAGGTCAAATGGAATAAAAGTCTCTAATTAACATACCCTAAAATCTTAAGGGTATGACCTACAAAGAAAGATAAAGATGCTTTACAAATACAAAAGCAAAAACACACTTATTTCCTAGATATAAGGTCAACCATTAGAGGTTGTGTCTAATCATGTGAGACCATGAAAGGAGCAAGCGAGCACCCATTCCTTTTATGATGCTCTTCACAAGGATGATTGAAGTCGTTGACATCAATATGACTCACTTCAAGGAAGGCAAAGTGGTGACAAAGATCAACCTCACAACCATGCATCAGATGAATTTTGCCCACCTATTTTTTGGATACAAAAGAAAATACATGGAGGTGAATGTAGACACCCAATTTCGTTCGGGGGGCAAACAAACAACAAAATAGGACATCAAGGGCCCAAAAGCCTAAATTAACTTTTTTAGTGGCCTGGCACGGGCCGTTTCAAAATCAGAACGGGCCGTTCCCAACTCCGGAATGGGCCATTCTCGAATTAGAACGGGCCGTTTCGAGGCTTCTAAAAGGCCTAAAAAATGTTGGTTGGAACGGGCCGTTCTAGACCAGAACGGGCCGTTCTAGACCAGAACGGGCCGTTCTAGACCAGAACGGGACGTTCCAAACCACTTAAATGACCTAAAATTTGTACCCCAGAACGGGTTATTCTGAAATCAGAACAGGCCGTTCTAGGGTGCAAAATAGTACATAACGTTCGGATTCGGAACGGGCCGTTCTGGCCTACATTTGATGCCTATAAAAAGGAATCTCAACCACAGTTTTGAAGGCCCCCAAAAATTTCGTCCAGCACTCCTTCGAAATTTCTCTCTTTTTCTCTCTCCCTCTCTTATTGTATTTCTTGAGTATTGTGAGGCAATTGTAGTGCGAAAGCTTGCCATAAAGCACCTAAAATCGCCTTATTTTGAAGATCCAATAGAGCTCATTGAAGAGGTATTTCAGTTAATTTCTTTCTCATTATTTTTATTTCTTATCTATAATAATTATCGTTATAATAAAAATAATCAAGTAGATATTTTAGAGTTAACTGTATTATTTAAATTTCAAGTATGTAAATAATTATTAATAAAGGGGATCTAATATTTAATTTATTATTTCTTATCACGTTAACTTCATCATAGGGTACCGATTGAGGGCGCTGCAGGGGTGCTTAATACCTTCCCTACACGTAACCGACCCCCGAACCCAATTCTGGTTATCAAAGCCATAGTTGGATCTTTAAAAAACCTTTTCTTTTTCCAATGTTTTGAGTAAAATATTGGTGGCGACTCCATGAACCTATTTTCAAAACCATTAATTAAGGATTAGTCTGGTGTCCGGGCATTCCTTAATTAATGAGACTTTTAAAAGGATGTCTAAACCATTAGTCGTAAGATCAGAAATTTTTGGGTTGCGACAGATGGCGACTCCACTAGGGACGTTTTAAGAGGGTCAGGCTCATATAAATGATGAAATTAGCATTATAAAAAAAATAATTTAAATATTTTTCCCCTCTATTTTATTTATTTTATTTTTTTGGCTTTTATATCTGTTTGCCTGTTTAAATTCAGCACTTGTTTGGAATAAAAGTTGTACACAAACCTTTGCACACAACAGTTTCCCCTACACCCGGGGGCATGAGGGTATTAAACATAGGGAGTGGTTGACGTACGATCGGCCCAAGTTTGGCCTTGGAGCCTGCGAGCCTTGTCGAAAATCACACTCAAGGTGATAACCGGTTACTCTAGCCTGAAATACTGCGACAAACCTTAGGGTTTGCCAGGTGACAGTGATAGAGATACTAGGTCCCTATAATGGGGGCACCTTGGGGGCCTTGAAACCAGTGAGATTAGAACCGTCCTATACAATGCACTTTTCTTGCAGGGACCACAGACCAAGGATTTGAACGTGACTGTCCGTGGGTGTACATTTGTTTGAGCATATGTGTGTTGCATTTGTTGTGTTCTCTTTTTGTTCATTTCAAATAGAAAGAAATTATAGACAAACAAACAGATATCAATAAAAAAAAACTAACGCTCTTCTATATACCCTAACTCTAAAACATCATATAGGGTAGTTTATTTCAAAAAAAAAACAAAAAAATATAGCAAAAAAATCATGCATCATAACCCTTAGTCAAAAAACATGATAAAATTTAGGTAAAAAATAAATATCATGCATCTCCTAGGATAGTGCATTAGCATACATTCATTAGAAATGGAAGGCACATATAATAGTATGCAAAGAATGTTCTCTAAATAAAAATCAATGAGAATGATATCTGTTGAATTTCTCATGTGTCTTTGCATCCTATTTTACGTTTCATATAGATAACACACCTTCCTTGTAAATAATAAATAAGAATAAAAAGGGAAATCTAATTTGTGCGTGTTAGCTGGATAATGGAAATTACTGTAATCAAATGCGAACCTTGACACATCAAATCGGGGAACACTTATCAGTAATTGGGGGCATTACACGCCCAAATTGACGATTCAAACGCGAAGACTTTCTCATGCGGAAACGACAATTGTCGGGATAGGAGGAATGATCAAGAATGGATGAATCCTTGCTT